TTTTTGATACGATATAAACAAAGTTTTGTTTTTTGAACTGAATGTAAAATTATATTCAAACCCAAAATCCAAAACCCTTTTCATAAGAGATGCATTTTTATGTTTGAAATTTGTGAAAAAAAATTAAGGTTACAAAACTGCAAGAGATTAGGGGATTCGTGTGGCAAACCACACCATTAACCCCTTGTCAAATAATCAAAGCTTTCATAATTGTAATAATCAATTTCGTTCTTCAATGACCCAAAAAGTTTGTTTTTTTCATGAACAGAATATCTTTTATTGTTATTCATGTGCACGCACCTGTATATATACGTATAAAAGGAATAAAAAACTACTGTATTCAAAAAGGCCCAAAATTCCAAGAAAGATGGGCCCAATTTTTGGTTGTAACGCATGACAACTACTCATGGACAAGTACACGTGAATACCATTTCCTTCCATATACGTATGAAACCAAATTATTTTCCTCTAGATTATTTTTAGCTTATTACTTTCTTACACTTTTAAGGGTATTTTCCATGGACATAAATCAATAGTGACCAATAATACTATGTATTTATTTTTATTTTCCAAAAATTAATGGTTTTTGAGCTATCGACAAATGTACATGGCAAATAAGGCAAACAACATAGCTTTGGAGTTTCTCTTATAAAATACATTATTAAACTCTCTGAATTCCGGATCCAACCAAACAACATAGCTTTTTTATTTGAATATTAACAAAAAATATAAACTAGAGAGAGAAAAAGAGGCTAGATTTAGAGAGAGAAATAATGGCTGTAATGATGACGATGAAGCTGGCATTTTCTGCAATTTTAATGGGAAGTATTTATTATTTTCTATAGTATATCATTGTGTGTTTTTTTTTTGTTGAAAATAATACAATAGTATTTGCCTCTAATGTTTCCTTTTTTTTTTTTTTTGCGATAATGAATTCGTGTAGTTGAAGCATAGCATTTGGTCGAGCAAAGCACAGCATTTTTGGACCATCATCATGATCCACAAA